GCTTGATTTCAGAGTCCACTCCCTTGTGATAAAGCTCGGCCGAAAATTGTCTCTGGACTCCTCCTTTCATGCCAGCACACAATTCTTCACCTAATTTATTTCCTTATCTGAAGTCTGCGTAATCCCAACTATGTCCTCAGCCCTCTCTTTTCCAAGCTACTCATTTATCTGATAGAATTCAAATGATCTCGGTAAAGCCACAGGGCTCCAGGAGTCCACGGTGATTCCTTTGAACTGTACGACAAACTGAAATGCCCTGTCTCGCATTTATTTCACCATCGGGTCCACGCTGGGGGAAGGCGAGGCAGGAAGCTTGGCCCCAGAGCTTGTTTAGCATGGCTGCCCTTCCCCACAGAGCTACCAACTGAACTGAAATACCCACCGGAGACTTTGTCCTCTGCCTTTCCAACGTGGTGATAAAGGAGCTAGGGATGCAGGTGAAGGCCGCTGCCAAGGGCCGGACATAGGTCACCACGCCCTTAAGTAAAAGTCCAAATGCAAGATTTCCTCAGTGATGCTCAAGTATTACAGCTTAAAACAAAATCACTAACGTGAAAATTGCACAGAAAATTTGACTCTGTTATTGTGAAACTGAAACTCTAACCCCTTAAACCCTCTTACCACCACCAGAACAATTGTTTTTATGACATTCAGCTTCTGTTTTGTTTCTGTAAGTTTTTGTTTGTAACATTATGAAAGGCAGTGGCTCTGGTCCACCGTCTTAATCTCAGATCAGACATCAAACCCTAAGCCCCTCCGTAGACACATCATCTAGCCAGGGCTCTGTTATCGTCACAGATAACACACACTGTGTCTCCCTCCCAGCACTTGTTTTTCACAAAGGTCTGGTGCCTGATGGATGGCCACCCACCCTACTACCTCCCACAGGGAGGCTGGCAGCCCAGCAGCCATATTTAGGGCACAGCAGCAAAGAGGCCACACAATGCTCACATCAGGAAATTTGCTTTGGGCATCCTTCGTGGGCAGGCACAGTTGGGCACAGGGCTCCAGGACCAGAAGGCACGTGCTCTGGCCTCCTGCGCTCACAGCTGGTGAGGGACATGGCGTTCCCCTAATGGTCACACAAAGGGGGGGGTGCAGGCCCAGCCTGGGGGCCCAGGTGGCAGGGGCGCTGCTGTGTGATGTTGGAGGCTGTATGGGAAAGTTCTGGAGTCACATCCCAGGCATACTGGAACATACAGAACGCTGCCAAGAGCCTGGGTGGCTCTTCCTGGGAGGAAGATTGCAGTGTGAGGCCCTGTTGAGGGTGTCTGTCTCCCCCTTTCTCTCCCTCAGGAAAGAAATAAATGAACTGGAAAAAATGAAAATACTGGGTCATCAGAAAAGTCCATGATGCATTTTTACATAGAAAAATAAGTCACGACTTTTCCAACAACTCAGTACAACCTGGGGTAACTGCTTCAAAGGAGAATCTTAGGGCCCGAGAAGGGATATTAGTATAGAGGAGGACTAAGCCTCAGCAGAGCTCAGGTGGGAGGTGGGGGGTGACTCCAGAGTCCCTGGAGGTAGAAGGGATGCGAGAGGGGAAGGAAGGGGTGGTCCAGGCAGAGGCTGCAGCCCATCCAGGGGCTCTGAGGCAGGGAGCCTGGCAAGTCTGTGACTGAGCTGAGGCAGCAGAGTTCCATGTTTTGTTTTGTTTTGTTTTTTAATTTAGAGGATTTTTTGCCTTAGGGCAAGTGTACTAGCTGGAGAGAGACAGAGAGTGACAGAGACAGTGACAGAGAAAGTGAGAAATCACCCCCCAAGGGGATGACCAAACCACAATCCCTTCTCTGTTCTCCTCCAGGGATCTTGGGCATGCACGCACACACAAGCCCAATGTGATTTTCAAGCCACTGGGTCTGGAATTCGAACCCTGGCTGGCCATGTGGGAGTGCAGCAATAACCACTACGCTATCTGCTGACCCAGCAGAGTTCCATGTTAATCAATGACCTTTTCATATTTAGGGGCTGTTAGTACAGGAGGAACAGATTTTCATTTTTAAGACATTTTCCAGTCCCTCATTTTCCAGAGTAGGAAACCCAAGAGGGTGAGTGCTTACAACAGCCTCAGCTTGGGGCCAGTTTACCAGGAAATAAAAGGATCGCACTCCTCAGGCCCCCACACCAGTGCAACTCCAGGGCTTGTACCTCTTTTTGTACTTGCAATTTCGGATTTTTTTTTTTCTTAAAAAGGACCTCCAAATTTGCATCCGCTTTATGCTGCACCAGGTCTGGATCCACCCCTCATTAGAGCTCGGGACTTCTGGCTTCAAACCTAACACAATTTCATTGCTGCCTCTATTTAGTGGGTGGGGTCTGGGCTACACTGGGAGGAATCTCTTGCTTTGAATTCAGCAAAACAGAGTGTGAGAGAGACTCCCCTCCAGGCTCAGGGCGGGCTGGCAGCAGGACAGGTCAGAGGCCTCACTGGGTCAGCCCTTTCGTGGCCTGACACTATTTCTGAAGAGTCCTGACCTATTTTTAAAGACATCTAAGGCCACCAAATGTCACTTTGGGTTTCCATCTCACATCCAGGAACTCTGGTTCTTACATGATTTACTGTCGGTGACTCAGCTTCCCCACATGAACGACACATCTGAGTGCCTGGTTCCAGGACATAGTTTGCTCTCGATTCATTTCTCAGTCGACAGCCACACCCTTTACAAACCCTCTGTCATCACTGTTGCCATTCCAGTCTTACTCTCTCCTTGGACTTAGCCTGTCCCTGTGCCTGTGAGTCAGACTATGGACATACGAACTGTAACAGGCAGGGCCTGGGGTGCCTGGCAGCGGGTCTGGAGCCTGGACAGTGGCCTGTTTAGGCCACCAAGCTGCTTGCCAGGGTGCTGGGATTGCTCCAAGTTCCTCTGGGTCCCTCTTTCTTGGCTCTTCAGGGATGACTATGGCTTCTCTAGAACCTGAACACCACCAGAACAGGGAGAAAGGGTTTGTTTATTCCCGATATTTGGCTCATAGTAGGTGCTCAAGAAATACACCAATGAATTAACAGTTTACCGTGAATTCTGAGTTCAGATACCCAACCAGCAGGTGGACAAATACCATGGCAAATAAGTATGTATTTGCTGATTTCTAAAGGCATGTCATTTCCCTCAAAAGTATTCAAATATTACCCTGCCTTCAATGCATCTGAATTACGGCAAATCACTGGGATGTGAAACCAAGACATTGCTTAGTGTCAAAAAAACCCCAAAATCTCACATCTTGTTATTCCTTCCTCCTCTTCTCTCACAAGAACCAAATAGCATCCTTCCCTCTCTAAAACTTCACAGAATTACTTTCAATGTACGTACAATGAGGAGTACTTAAATTTTCATCTGCAGTCCTTATTTCCAACCAAAGCCCCATTAAACAGATCCCCAAGTAGTCCCTTCTACTGTACCAGGAAGAAGTGCTTTATCTAAGCTCAGAGCTAGTGCCTCTTGGTCTTGACAGGTCCTCGGGACTCATTTAACCTCCCCCAACTGCCCCCATCCCAAGTGTCACAGATATGCCTCATGGGCCCTCTGAAGGGATTTTTAAATTCACAATAGTGTGTTTCTGTAAGAGCGATACAGAGAGAGAGAGAGAGAAAGGAGCACCCTCCACAGGACTCAACCATGCCCTAGTCCTCTCCTCCAGTCCTCTAGCTGCCAGGATCCTGGGCACACGTGAACACATCAGGCCGACCTGGCCAGGGACTCGAACCACAATTGGCATATGGCTTCCAGCACTGCAGTACGCTCCCGCCTGCACCCCAGAGGCTGGGCCAAGAAGGGATATTTTTGTAGCACTTTTATCATTTATGAGGTGGTGCCACATACTTTGACTTCACCACTAAGGACCCTGGAATGAGGAGTTACTGGTCCCATTTTAAAGATGGAGTGCTGTGTGGTCTGTAGATACAGGGGTAGACGCTGCAGCCAGATCCTGCCCTCTGCTCACAGCCCTCTGGGTCCCCATGCTCAGAAGAGAACATCAGGGCCAAGGCGGGCTTGAGAGCAGGAGGTGTCACTGACCTCAGAGTCCCTTTGAGCATCCTGTTCTGCTATCTCAGAGAGGAGGCCTTCTCTAAACTGGGTTTTGAAACAAGGAAGGTGACGCCAGCTGAAAATCCCTGAGGAGTGATTTATCCTCATACCCTTCCCTCTGAGAGCCTTTTAGTCCCTTAAAATGAAACCCCTTTGCTTCTGCATCCCCAGGTCTGGACAGTGACTTTCTCGCTGTGCTGAGTGACTACCCATCTCCCGACATCAGCCCTCCGATATTCCGCCGAGGGGAGAAATTGCGTGTGATTTCAGAGTGAGTTAGTTTTCCAAATGTTTATAATCCCTACAAAATAGGAACTCGATTTAGGTGAGAATTGTTATTTTTAGCTATAATTGTCCCACTCGGGCCCTGGTCTTTTTGTGGGGTGAGAAATTTGATCTATACCGTAACCTTCCTCAATGCCAGTCTCTGAAACCTTCAATGGCTGCCCACAGCCTACTGGATCAAACTTAATTCCTCAACTTAGCTCTTTGAGACCCTTTATGAGTAAATTCTGCTGCTCTATTGGTCTCATCTCGCACCGTGTGTATAGATGGCATTACATCCCAGTGCAGACGGAGAGGGGAGACCCGGGGGGCTAAAAACACTTCCATGATAAACAGAAAGAATAATCTGCCCATTCTGTTGTCTCTCCAGTTCGGAATAGGCTACAGGGAAAAAAAAAACAAAAACAAAAAAACAGGAGCTCTAAGTTCCTTTATTCTGATTCTCACTGATGTAGACACAGGGCACTCTGCTTGGTAGCACTCCAGGGTATACATCAATAGAGTAAACGCTTACTTTAGAGAAGCCTCCACCCGTGAAACATCAGTTGGGAATATCAGCCTCTAATCCCTGAAAGGCAGCAAGTGGAAGGCTTCCCCGTGAGTTTGGAGGAGGGATGCCTAGTGCATACGAATACTTTAAAACTGAACTCCAATGGAGAGACTCAGGTCCACATGGCAGCAGTAGACCTTGAGAGAGGAACCTCCCAAGGTGCCCAGGGTTATAGCGGATTACCCTGCTCACCCATTCATTTGCTCCCCATTTTCTTACCCACGCCCTCCTGTCTGTTCTTGTTCTGGCAGTGAAGGGGGCTGGTGGAAGGCCATCTCCCTGAGCACTGGTCGAGAGAGTTATATCCCCGGAATATGTGTGGCCAGAGTCTACCACGGGTGAGTACGCTTACACTGGTCACACAGAAGATGGTATGGAGGGTCCAGCACAGTAGAGGGGAAGGGGCTAGGAGTGTGAGGGAGTGCTCCTATTCCTGGCTCAGGCCGGAAGTAAATGTGTGACCTTGGGCTAATTCATTCCTCTTATACTGGAGTTCAATATTCCCATCAGTAAAATGAAGGGCATGTGACCTTTCAGCTCTAACACAGTGTTCCCAGCACAGAGTAGAAAAAGCTGACCAGCTCTTGTCATAGGATGCAACACAGTCCCATGGCTAAAGGTTGGTCTGTCTGGGTGCGAATCCTGCCCTGAGCACTGACCTGCTGCATGACACACAGTGAACAAGCCGCTCATCTTCCTGTGCTTTTCCAGCTTTCCTCTCCTTGGAGGAGATCAGGGCACAGAGTGACTGGGAAGTACAGGACAAGACAACCACAGCTGTTAGAAGCATGAGATGGGGTCGTAGATCGTGGTGCAATGCCGGGCCGCACAGCCACCACCAGATATGTACCAGGGGTACTCTTAGCAAATACACACCCAAAGCACACAGAGAGCACTGCAAAAAATGTTTATGGGACCAATTTGGCAAATACATAAACAAAGAAGAAAAAGAGAACCTTAAAAAAGTAGGTTTTGGGAGGCTAGCAGGTAGTGTTGTGGTTAAGGCACTGGACTCCCACGTGGCTGACCATGGTTTGAGTCCCAGATGTGACAGCTTAAAAATCAGGCCAGGTGCATGTGTGTGCGCACCCAAAATCCCAAGAGGTGAGTGGAAGAGAAGGGATTGTAGCATAGCCATGCCCCCGGAGGATAATTTCTCACTTTTCCTCTCTCTGTCACTTTCTCTGTCTCTCTCCAGTGAGTGCACATGCCCTATGGAAAAGGAAAAATTATGGTTTGGGCTGACCCTGTAGCCTAGTGGTTAAGGGTTCTGGATCCTACATGGCCAACTGCAGCTCAAGTCCCCATCCTGGAGGCTTGAGAAGCATGTTGGGCACTGTGTGTGTGCGCCCCAAATCCCGGCAGGGTGAAGAAATGGAGAAGGGGTTGCATCTCACTGGGGAGTGCCTTCCCCTCTGTCTCTTTCTCTCTGGCAATTACACACATCCTCAGGCAATTTCAAAAACAAACAGCCTTGGTAGATGAGAGAACAAACACACTGCCTTCGTCTGTAATCATGCAAGTGAGACCACTGCGGCTTTCTGGGTGGCGGCACACCTGGGCTTAAACTTGAGCTTCCCCGTTCCGTCTAAGGGCCTTGGAAAATCTCCTTCCATATCGGTCAAGCTACCAATGCCAGGCCCTGGCAACAAAGTTCAGTGCATACAAGAAACAGGAAGGAGGGTGGAAGCACTGTTTTTGTACATATTAAACAATTCCATCACATCTAGAGGAGACTTGGCCTAACACCTGCTTCTGTAACACAGCGTAGGTACCTTCCAGCTGGCTCTGTCTCTCTCCAGTGAGTGCACATGCCCTATGGAAAAGGAAAAATTATGGTTTGGGCTGACCCTGTAGCCTAGTGGTTAAGGGTTCTGGATCCTACATGGCCAACTGCAGCTCAAGTCCCCATCCTGGAGGCTTGAGAAGCATGTTGGGCACTGTGTGTGTGCGCCCCAAATCCCGGCAGGGTGAAGAAATGGAGAAGGGGTTGCATCTCACTGGGGAGTGCCTTCCCCTCTGTCTCTTTCTCTCTGGCAATTACACACATCCTCAGGCAATTTCAAAAACAAACAGCCTTGGTAGATGAGAGAACAAACACACTGCCTTCGTCTGTAATCATGCAAGTGAGACCACTGCGGCTTTCTGGGTGGCGGCACACCTGGGCTTAAACTTGAGCTTCCCCGTTCCGTCTAAGGGCCTTGGAAAATCTCCTTCCATATCGGTCAAGCTACCAATGCCAGGCCCTGGCAACAAAGTTCAGTGCATACAAGAAACAGGAAGGAGGGTGGAAGCACTGTTTTTGTACATATTAAACAATTCCATCACATCTAGAGGAGACTTGGCCTAACACCTGCTTCTGTAACACAGCGTAGGTACCTTCCAGCTGGCATTTGACCAACAGGATAAAACAGTGCAATACCTGGCATCTATTAGGTACTCGGGAAATTTTATTTTGAAAGATGAAAAATATGAGTAGAGGTATAAAGAGTCTATCACCCTCCTCTTTCTTGTCCGTTCAAGTTCGAATCCTGCCTTTGTACCAACAGTGGCCTAGTGTGCAGGCACTCTTAACTGGTGGTGTTCCGAGCACCCCTCTTTGTCGGGAGCGTGTGCTCAGGAGGCTCATGGCATCTCTCCTCTTCCCAGCTGGCTGTTTGAAGGGCTGGGCAGAGACAAGGCTGAAGAGCTGCTGCAGCTGCCAGACACCAAGGTCGGCTCCTTCATGATCAGAGAGAGTGAGACGAAGAAAGGTGAGGGGCCCCCATCGTGCTTGGCCTCGCTCGCTCAGGTCGGCAGGCATGGCTACTGACTAACTCGGTACACGGATTCCTTTCCCGCTCCTATGTGCTCACAAATCAGCGCCATGTGGCTTAGCTCCCAGGAGCCCATGCAGTGGCCCTGAGCCCCGTGGGAAGGCCAGAGGGCTTGAAGGGGACAGTGGGTCCTGGCTGGGCACTGCCATGGGCCCTGCTGGGAAAATCCCCATCAACCAGGTGGTGGCATGCAGGGTACGGCATGGGGTAGAGCGTGGGCTTTGTAGAGGCCCAGCCTGGGCTCTCAAGCTCTAGGACTAGGGTGGGCTATTTCCTTCTCAGAGCTCAGTTTTGCCATCTGTGAAATGGAAAGGAAACCCCTCCCTCGTAAGGCTGAGGTGAGATTCGAATGTAATAATCTCCATAGAGCTCTGGTGGCACAGGAGTCCCTCTGCATCAGTTCCTGTGTGCCCAGCAATTACGGTAGACAGTGTAGAGTCAGGGCAGCGTGATCTTCACCATTACAACTTCCTCGAAGAGAACTCTTCACCGAAACGAGTACCGGCCTCACTGGGACCATATACATGGGGTTGGACAAATCCCGGAACCCCGTCTCTCCCCACCACCAGCATGTGCTGTGGGCGAGCATGAGCAAGGGCAGCAGGTCTTGTGCACGTCCCAGGCACCCAGACTCAGAGGGAGCTGTCTAGTCTGCCATGGCCAAGTGGGAGGAGCAAGCCAGTGTGGGAGCCACAGCTCATCTAAAAATAAAGATGTCCTCAGCAGAGATGACAGGGAGGGGCAGGCCCCGCCCCTTGGGTATGCAAAGCTCTGATGCCTTTCCAGGGCTGCCCTTGAGTAGCTTCCCATACTGCTAGTTCCCGCTGACGTGACAGCAAGGCACAGAGGACAGGCCTGGGCACAGCCAGGTGTGTTCCACAGAACATTCCAGAAGGCCTGCTGAGGACAAGCTTCCCACCCAGGCCACTATTCCCAAGCCATGTGTCTGCGGCCACAGTACTCAGGGGTTCTGAACATCCATGTCTTCATCTATAAAAGGTTTGAGGACAAAATCTCCCAGGGTTTTTCTGAGAATGAACAGAGACATTCCCTGGAACTGTCTCGGTACCCTGTCCAACAGACAGCAGCAGGTCTCCCCTCTTCCCACCTCCGGAGCACTTTGCACCCCTGACGCTGAAAGGCAGAACAAGGGGAACCCTCGAGTGTGACTGGTCCAGTCGTCTCCCCTTCCACCTGGGGAGACCGAGCCTAAGGGAGGGAGGCATGTGGCAAGGTCTGCTCTCACGACCCCCACCCCCTGACACTTGGGGAGAAACGGCACACCCCTCACACACGTTCCTTAGGGAAACCCACAACAACGTCGTCATTGCCACTTGCTCCAAATTTCTGAGAAAACCAAGCATAGGGCAGAGAGAGTAGAGACAAGGAAAGATGGGAGAACTCTAAGCCCCCCAAAAGTGTGGTGGGCAGCGTGGGTGACAGGGGCTGAGTTAGGAAAACCACAGCGAAAGAAAACCTTAGAGTGAACCGGGAAGGATTTAAGTCTCAGGTGACAGGTCACAACCAAACATTCGATGGGACCTAAGAAGTCACAGAGGACATGAAAGCACCCCACATGTTGGCCTCAAAATGCCCAGAGGGCCAGGTCTGCAGACCCTCCACATGAAATGGGTCATGACGACACAGCTGGGGTGGCAACAGCGCACCACTGAGGGTGCCCAGGCTCTGAGCAGTGAGCTCCCTCAGGTGCACTGGGTCCTGGTGGCTGGAGGAGCTGCTCAGGACCAAGGGGCTATGTCCTGGTGTCAGTGCCGTCTCCCTCTGCCTTGTGGTCATGGCCGTGAGCTGCTCGCCCTCAGGTGGGGTGCCGCAACGCTCCTGACTCACCCTCCGGTCCGCAGGTTTCTACTCACTGTCGGTGAGGCACAGGCAGGTGAAGCATTACCGCATCTTCCGCCTGCCCAACAACTGGTACTACATCTCCCCGAGGCTCACCTTCCAGTGCCTGGAGGACCTGGTGAACCACTATTCTGGTAAGGAGCCCCTCTTCGCTAGCTGCCTGCGGTGCCATCTGCTGGGGGGAGCCCAGGTCACCCACAAATGCCAGTGACATACTCTTGCGTTCTGCCCTCCCGCCTTCTCGTGGATTCAGGCTGTCCAGTTCAGCCTGACGCAGGCCGCTGTGGACGCTGAGGAAGCCCCTGCCTGTAGTCTCACATCACACCTTCTCCATGTGAAAGAGAACAATTAGGAGGCCCCTCATTGCACAACCGGATCACGTGCACTTCCTTAAGTGGCATACAGCCTTGGGTCCCCAGGGCTTTAGCTAAAATGCCACTTATTTCCCCTTTCCTGTGTGTCAAAATTGTGCTTGGGCTTCAAGGCTCACATCAACCCACCTCTGTGACAAAGCCTTGGGCACTGGAATCACTTGCTTGTCTCTGCGGTTCTCAGAGCAGGGCGGGTGTTTCTCTCTGGCCCTTCCTCAACACGGCCCAGTTCACTGTGTACTGCTCTGGGTCTCCTAGCCAGTTCCTAAAGATGAGAGGTTGTGTGCTATTCATCTGTGGGTCCTTCTGGACCCAGGCGAGAGTTCTGACCTTCCCCCGGCTGACCATGCAGGGAGAACGTGCCAAGACGGAGGAAGCCCTGTGTGGTCTTGGAGGCTGCGATGGTAGAACGCAGGGGCGCAGGAGAGAAAGCATAGTTAGACTCGAAAGGCCCGAATGCCAGGTCAGGAGCTGAAGCTTTATCCCATGGAGAGGAGAAGTTGTAAACAGGTGAATCAATTTCCAAAAATTGGCTCTGGAACCTCGTGTTGACACCCCAGGCGTGCTCACTGTCAGCTTGCACCCTAAAGCTGGCCAGCTGTCCCCACGCGCCCCCCTCCTCATCTGAGTAATGCAGCTGCTGGCTGCGTTCACCCTCCCACCCCCACCTACCGGGACAGAGGTGGCACACGGCTGGTGCCGAGAAGGGCGCCAGCACAGGACCGAGTTCCTGTAACTGGGGCACCTTCAGTAGGCCGGGCTCCTTCCTCTTCCCTCCCTCTGCCTACCGGAAGGAGGAAAGGAAGTCACTTTGGCTCTGTCAGCATCTCCGCTTTCCAGTTCAGGTGTCTGACCTCAGCCGTGAGCAACTGTGCCAGCATTCTTTAGTACAGGGGTCATGAACCAAAGAAGCAAAGGGCATTTCAAAGAGAAAGGAATCCCCACGGCTCTGGGTTGTCACACCTGGCCTATGAGAGATGGCAGGTCATAAAGGAGAAGTGGCTGCATGGGAGAGGGCTAGGAGACCCCAGCCAAGCCCCCCACCTCTGGGCGCTTTACCTGCCATTCAGGGAAGGTAGTGAGAACAGGCCCCCAGAGATAGTGAAGGATTATTAAGCGCGATTGCTCGTGTGACACGTCCAGCAGCCTGGACATTCAGGTGCAAACTAAATGATAACAAATATCACCCCTGTGATACCCCCAAACCTAGCAGCTAAAAGTGAAAGAGGAAGGCAGTCCTGGAAACACCAGCGTTAACTGGTTATGAGTAAAGGTTGTTTGTGGTATTTGGCTTTAATCACGATCATCGGAGGGGTGTGACGACCAGAAGTTTTGCATAGACAAAAGCAAACACGAAAAGGATGCAGCCTCAGCAGTCTATGGGCCCAGAGGCCGCAGGCTACGAGATAGGAGCCCCACATCCGCCTGGTGCCGCCAGGCCCCAGGAGGGTCCCACACTAGTGCAGAGCTAGCCAGGGCCTTCCCGAGATCAGTGTCGGGCCCTTGCACCTATCATCACAGCCACTGGTCTCCCTCCGCGTAGCTGAAAAGGGTCTGAAAACCCGAGGTGCTTCCTGTGCCCTGTGGGGGTCCCAAACAACACAGCCTATTTCACCTCCCACGAGGTTATTCCCGAGGCCACAGAAGCAGGAGCTGCGTCCCAGGGAGTCCAAACAGACATTTTGGTTTTGCAGGTTGCGTATTTATCCTGGTGCTCTTGGCAAATTACTTCACATCTCTAAGCCTTGGTTTCTTCTTCTAGAAAGTACAGATTAAAATACTTGGTGCAAGATTGTTTTTAGGACTCCCCCCAAAAAATATAAAAGCACTTGTGCAAGGTTAGCACCTGAAGTTCTTCCTGCAGTTATGGAGTGAACAGGGCAGATGGGCACAAAGGAGTGCCAGGATGTGGGAAGAGAAAGGGACGGGAACAGGGGACCCTCAGATGAAGGCGTCGGAGCCTGAGGCTGTGAGGGCTATGGTCGTTCTGCCAAGCTGTATAGACAGGGATCAGTTAGACCCTACAGACAGTCCAGGATTTTACTTACTCCGTTTAAGGGGCAATAAGTTGGTACCAGCATTTGGCGTAATGGCTATATCACTGGACTCCCATGTAGTCGACTGGGGTTTGAGTCCCGGACCCAGTGGCTTAAACTTACGTCAGGTGCATGTGTGTGCGTGCCTATGACCCCGAGAGGAGAATGGAGAAGGGATTGCGCTGTGGTCATCATCCCTGGGGGGTGATTTCTCTCTTTCTGTCTCTCTGTCTCTTTCTGTCTTTCTGATGAGCACACCAAAAATCTCTCCAAAAAAATTTTTTTAAAAAAGAAGAGGCAGTAAGTTGCCTTTGTAACGAGTGTCTGGTTCCAAGCCAATGGCATGGGAAGAGGCAGTGCCTTTAGAACGAGTGTCTGGTTCCAAGCCAATGGCATGGTTACATGTCATGTTTCTGCGACTCTGGGCAAGTGGACCCTCAGTTCCTCACCCACAAACGGGTATAACGACACCGATGGCATAAAATGAATGTGGGGCCTCAGTGAGAGAAGCGGGCGAGGCTCGCCCAGCACTTAGCTCCCGTCCCGTGGTTGAATGAGTTCTTTTGTTCTTCGTCAAAATTCATTTTTCACCCCAAGTATTAACCTCTCAAAGGAAGGGTGCCCACAAATTTCCCCTCCTGAGCTGGGGATGGCAGGCCATTCCCCTGGTCTTTGTTTCTGACTGTCTCCCTCACCTCCTAACCTGGGAGGTCATTTCTGTCTCCAGCTGTGACAGGTAATTGTTTTAGAATCACAGCCATTTAAACCTCCTCCCAGTCTCACAGTCCCACCTTTGTCTCTGTGCTCGCCCAAGCAAGGAGACCCTGAGAGTCAGACTAAGCACCACCCCAATAGCCCGATAGCCCGGGCATGCTACAATTTCAGCTAGCTTCTTCTGGTTCCTTGCCAAGGATGCCCAAGAACGTCCTAACTCAGAAGGGGGGTGGAGACTGTTAGAGCGTGAAGGGCTTTCGAAAGCCTGAGGACAGACTGGCCCTGAGCCAGAGTGCTCAGTCCAGCGACATCTCGTGTCCTCGCCCTTTCACTTCCCTGAGGATGGGAGAAGTGCTAAGTCTTCAGCCAACTAAGACCACAGTGAATGTCCTCCATCTCAGATGGCCAAGGACAGCAGAATCATGTCCTTCTCATGATGACATGGGCGTGGGGAAGGCTCCCAGGAGACAGGGTTACAGCCTTACATTGCTGGAAAGATGGGGGTCTCTGAGAGCTCAGGCTAGCCAAGAAGGAAAGAAAAGAGTGTGTTACCATTCCCAGTGCAAAAGTCTCTACGGTAAAAAGGACTTTGCTTCATTCTTTCTTTGTCCACTTTCTCCTTTGCCTCTCCCTGTTCCTCTCTGCCCTCCGTTCTTGGGTCTTTCATTCTTTTTGTACTTCCTTTACTTCCCCCCTCTCTGCCTTCTGCCCTCCCTGCCCTCCTTCCTTCCTTCCTCACTGTTTCTTTTATGTTCTTCTCTTCCTGCAAATGCATCCAGCCACCCGTGCGGTGCTGAGGGCCACGCCGCACGTTCTGGGAACTGGTGTGGCCCACGGGCACTCTCCAGCTGCCCTCACTCAGTCCTCTCATTCTGCAGTGGAGGGAAGCGAGGCTCAAAGAGGTTCAAGGTAATTTACTGTCAGGCCAAGCTGAAATGTAACAAGTCTGGTGGCTTCTGGCTCCTAAGCTCCTTTCTCTAGCCCTCTCATCTGAATGCAGAGCATGGTTAAGACACATTCATGTTTCTCAAATAACCAGGTGAGAGACTCAGCCTCACTACTGCTTACCACGCCCGTCGCAAACCTGGGCTCAGTTTTCCCATGCCAGCACCCAGGCAGCAGCTCGTGTGGAGTCTCAGGCCTCACAGTTTCTGCTTCTCTCCCCAGAGGTGGCTGATGGCTTATGCTGTGTGCTCACCACACCCTGCCTGACACAGAGCACGGCCCCCTCAGCAGTGAGGACCTCTGGCCCACCTGTCACCTTGCGCCAGAAGACCTTTGACTGGAAGAGGGTGTCCAGGTAGGGTGCGTGTGTGAGGGGGTATGTGTGTGCTCATTTTGTGAGCACAAAACAATGTGTGAGCCTAGCATGTGAACACCATGATGAGCGTCATCTGGCCCTGCTAAACACAGGGAGGGCATACCTTGTCAGTATAGACCCATGGAATCCCACTGCCCCTGACCCCTCAGACTCAGGTCCACGTGGCATGTGGCAACTGCCCAGCAAGGCCCTCTGTCCCCGATCTGCAAACATGTGCTGAGGCCCCACTCAGTGCTAGGGTACATTTTCAATACCACCCTGTTATCGGAAATTGTTAGGGCCACACAGAGTCTCACATAAGTCTTGTGTAAACATAGTATCATTTATAACCCAATCACAAAATTTAAATAGGCCAGCAAATCCTAAAATGACTTTGTTTTTTTCCTAAGAGAAAAAAAAAATCTTCCACTGATTTCTGTTGTTTATGCTATTGTCAGCTATTGGGTTTAAATGGATCCCTGCAGTTTGGGACTGGCAGGTCGTCTTAGCTGAACATTGATCGAGACACCTCAAGGAAAATCAAAGGAAATAAGAGATCAGGACGGCCTGGGAGATAGTTAATGCTGCTCCATGTGAATATCATGAAGAAATATTCACTACCATTTATGGTTGGAGGTTCTAGTCATCCAAGAAAACAGTGGTTCAGAGAGGTTAAGTGATGTGTCTAAAGTTACACGGCCCACAAAGTGAGAACCAGAATTAGAACAATAGACGAGGGAGATGCTAACCAGAATTTGGGGTTTGTTTTCTTTTTCCTTTTCTCACTCTCTTGCCCCCCCCATTCCCATCTCTCTGTGTCCTCTTCCTCTGTCCCCCTTTGTCCCTACTCACAGACTGCAAGAGGACCCCGAGGGAGCAGGGAACCCACTCGGGGTGGACGAGTCCCTTTTCAGCTACGGCCTCCGGGAAAGCATTGCCTCCTACCTGTCCCTGACTGGGGATGACAACACCTCCTTCGACCGGAAGAAGAAGAGC